CTCTCTCTCTCTCTCTGTCATTCTGCATTTCAAATAAAAATACACAAATCTTTTCTAAAAATATGAAAATGGAAGCAACTCGTATCTGTCAGACTTCTTACGTTAATTACCACCAGCAATACTCGCTGCAATCCACTAAGGTTTATTAACCTACTTTGCAAATGAAGAAGATGAATACATAGTGCCTTCAAAGAACATGGATTTTGTACCCATTCTTCTCAGGCTTTATATTTCCACCCATGTATTCCAGCTGAACCTTGATACTATAATATATAAATAAATATACTTCATTTTTACACCAGGATTGCACATGCCTGGAATTCTAGCATTTGTGGAAGCTCAATTGTTTTTATTAATGTAAGATGATTAGAATTTTTATAAGTGAATAATATTCAAAAACCACAAGTCACTAAAATGGAATCCAATATCAGTTATTAACTACTTGAGAAACTGATGATCTGAAAACAGATTATAATGTGAAATTAACAAATATATTTCTTTTGCAATATACAGAAATTTTTTGCATATACTTTTTGCATATACAGAAATATACCATTAATGGCACTGTTTAGGTTCAAAATACAATTTAAAATCTTTGATATTTCCTGTGGCTACTGTGAAAGAGTTCTTTTTTTTCTGCTGTAGTTTATAATTGGTTATTGCTAACATACAGGCACAAAACCAGTTTATTAATATCAATCATATGTAACCTCCTTAGCATATGTTAATTCCTTAAACGTTTTTGTGGTTCTTCCCTCGGCTATTTTAGATTCGCCATGTGGACTCCTGGCTGCCACTACCTGTGACTTCCCTTTCCTGCTTTTGTCTTATTGCCTGCAGAGGGTCCAGAAGGAGGCCGCAGACCAGGGACAGCCAGCATCCTTGTTCTGTTCTTCATTTCCAACACACTATTAATGCACTGATAAGAGTGACACCAGCTATGGATTTCTAGTTGCTAGGCTTTGAAAAAGTACAAAGGTAACTTCTATTCTCAGTGTGCTGAGTTTTGGTTGTTGGTAGTGCTATATGGATTAGATTTTAATTTTAAAAGGGGTGTAAGACTATTGAAGGCTTCATCTGCCTGAGTTGTCCAGAATATAGTAATATTGGTAACCATGCAAGCTTTCTCAATTCATAGGTCAGTTACATATTGTTCATGTGTTCTTCTGTTGATACCTCACTAGTTTTATGGCAATTCTTTAAAAATTTTTTTCATCATTATTCATAAATGAGACTAGCCTGGGGTTATCTTTCTTTTATCATTCATTTTTATTTTTGTTACATGAGTTGATAAACTTTTTACATTTCTTACAGTAAAATTGCAAATACTCAAGAGCATCTATTCTACATGTTGTGTTCACATTTCAACTTGAGGGACTTCAGAAATTAGAACACGAGACTTTTTATGAGACTGTAGCTACAATAACGCAAAGAAGAGGCTGTTCCCTTCAGTGCAGCCTTTAATTAAAGTGCACTTTCGAATTGATTAAACTCAGAAACCTAGAACAATCCTCTAAATCTGATAAGTTCTGAGGAGCTGCGTGAAGCACGCCAGCAGTTATTAAATTTTCCAGGTCTTATTGCCATTGCTGAGGTATCTCCTGTCATTTACTCGTGCAGCTCGTGTCACAGGCTGTGAATTTTAAAGGTGTGTGGGCCAGGCAAGGGTAGAGTCTTGCTGATGAAATTGCAGACAGAGACACCAATGGGGAGACTAGCGGGACGACATAAACAATCCAGGGACAGGGCTGCTTCCCCTGCTGCTCCCTACACTCCAAACAGGACCTCACAGCTTCTGAAAACAGATTCAGGTGTTTTACCTCAGTGGTTTTCAAAATCATAACTTTTACTGAGTTTAGTAAAATTATTCTCTGCAAATGCTTACAGATAGCTTATTCCAAACTGGAAAGAGAAACATTACTCACACAAAGTCAAAACTCTTATAGGATACTGACTAAAAATATGTGTAACCTATGTGCAAATTAATAATCTTTGAAAATGTGTTTATTTTATGTCAGATTTTTATTCCAGCGTAAAATACAGGAGGACTTCAGATATAAATATTATTTCAACTAGAAAAAACAAAATGTTCTAAGAATAAAGAAATGAAGACCCTCATGGAAAGTATTTAGTACCCTCCCATGGACTGTATGGCTGCTGAATAATTAAACAATAACCTAAACTTGTACAGACTCCATCTTATCAATCCTAGACAAACAGGACTCCCTCTAAGGAACTTAGAGGGGTGAGCAGGCAGGGCTCTGGTTATGGCACGAAGGTTCAGTCAGGGTGGTTTCTGCCCTGCACTATTTTACATACAAGACTTTCATGCGTATACACATTATAAACAAAATGTTCCACAGATCAAAGCTATTTGAGGTCCTGGTGCCGCAGTGTAGCACGTGAGGCTGCTGCCTGCAACACCGGCATCCTGTAAGAACACAGGTTTGAGGCCTGGCTGCGCTGCTTCTGACCCAGCTGCCTGCTAATGTGCCTGGGAAAACAGCAGAAGATGGCCCAAGGGCTTAGTTCCTTGCCACCCAGGTGGAAGACCTGAATGGAGTTCCAGGCTCTTAGCATCGGCCTGGCCCAGTCTGGCTGTTGTGATCACTGGGGGAGTAAATCAGTGAATGCAAGGTCTTTCTATTCCTCTCTCTATCTCCCCCTACCCTATAATTTTTTATATAAATAATACTTTTTTATATAGATAATACTTTTTATCTAAATAATCTTCAAAAAAAGCTATTTGAAAGAAGAGAAAAAACACACAGATTTATGTTTCTAACCAATTAGCACTCAGATTAGCCTCAACTCTCTTTATCACAGTGATTGGAATAGTGCCATGATATCCAGGGGATTGACAAAAACTACTTTGACTTAAAAGTTTTACATCCACTCAGTTGTTTTCCTCCAATGTGAACTCAAAAGACACTGAGGAATAAGATTATTATTTAACTGATATACCCAACAAACAAGACACAATAGAAAAGGTAATAGTAAGTAACCTAGAAGATATAATATTCTTGTAAAAAATAAAATGAGAAACACAAGGTAGACATTTGATCTACCAGTTAGGACAATGGATGGGAGACCTGCACCCTGTATCAGAGTGCCTGGGTCTGAGTCCCATCTCAGCTCCAGATTCCAGCTTCCTGGTAATGCGCAACCTGGGAGGCAGCAGTGATAACTCAAGTAGTTGGGTTGCTGCCACTTATGTGGGAGACCCAAGGTGAGTTTCTGGCCCCTGGCATGGGCATTTGGGGATTGCATCAATAGATGCGGACTCCTTATCCATATGTCTCTCCAGTGTCTCAAATAAATGAATGAAATGTTTTTGCATGTATGGTGTGGCATTATCTGAAGTTAGTGTAATAGTTACAAATGTAATTGCAAATATCAAAAATAATTTTAAAAAAAACATACTTTTTGTGGTCAAATTTAAAAAAAAAAACCAGTCTGAATCCAAATGTCAGATAATTCAGGATAGGAATCAGACCTAATAATGGTATGAGCCGAATGGTAAAGAAGTGAAATTATGTTTAATTCTAAGGTAACACAAGAAATTACCTACAACAGATAGAGAACAATCATATGTTCAAAATCTTTAAAGCATGGAGAGAAAACAAGTGATATGTACTTTCCAAAATATGAAAAAAACAAAAAGACTGAATAGAATAATTTGACAAGAGATGAAATTTATGTTACAAAGACTCATATATGCATTTTAAATTGTGTTTGTAACAAATCTTGAGTGAATCTAAAACTCACAGGCTATGTACAATGTTAGTCCTTTAAATTTCTTGACTCTAAATAAACTTTTATTTGTAAGCTTGTAACAACAACAAGCACTTACAAAGCAGTTACGCTGGGCCCGGTGATATCACGAGGACCTAAATATGCTACCTTATTTTATATTCAAATGATATATCAGATTAGTAATCTTATCCTCATTTCAGAGATGAGGAAATGTTTGTCCAGAAAGCTGAAGGATTTGTCCCAAAAAACAATGGTGCTAAAAGTAGATTAGAACTGAGGTAGCTCTATATACTCAGGCCTCTGTAATTAAAGAGAATATTAAAAAGGTATCTTGCAAAGTCTCAAGTGGTTCTAACCCCCAACTCCTTAGTCTACCTATGTGAGAAGGCAGGACAGGAGGTGTGGGTTAGGGGGGATGGGTTAGAGAATGGATAATGTTGAAAACCAAAAGGCTACAATTGTGTTCCCGAGACACAGCTCATCCTCACCAATGATTAGGCTGGGATAAGAGAAGCCATGGGGTTCTCAGGCTCTGCCCTCACCACAGACAGAGTGGCTTAGAAACCCCACTGCACATGCTTCTCCCTAAGCATACCATTCTCCTCACCCCACCCCACCCCAGGGAAGCCATCTGGGCTAAGACTTCCACAGTGGATTTCTACTTCTTTAGGCCTCCTGCTTATTCCTTTCCCCCTGCCCTGACACTCCTTTTTGTCTTGAAACCACAATAAGTGGGAAGAGTTATCTTTTCCCTACATCCTAGGGAAGGGGAGGGAGGGATGGGGAGAGGGAGGGATGGAGGAAGGGAGAGAGAGAGGGGAGAAAGAGAGAGACATATGCAATAATTAGCAGTAAGAACCAGGGACAGTGTACAATGAACAACCTTCTCCCTTTACCAATCAGTGGACATGCAAGTGTGCAGAATATACAGGTGTGTAGAATATACAGAATGTCCCTGTGCACCTGTCACTAGGAAAGCTGAACTGTGTACCACGCAGCAGTTCAGAAGGACAGCTCCCTGAATGCAGACCTCCTATAAGAGTGCACTCAGTGAGGCCACTGGATAGCAACTGTTCACAAAACTCAAGATTTCTTCTTTTACTTGGACCCGAGTTTACCACAGACTTTTCACACGACACATAAATAAAACAATCAAATTAGCTCCTATTCTGTTTCTCAGAAACAGGTACCGAAACTGAGGGACAGGATGGTATTCCAACAGGCGTTCCAATCCTTTTACTTACATCCTTCATAGATGTCAGTGGGGATATGGACAGCTGCGTGCTGATAGGATACTTGTCTTCTAAAGTTAGCATCGTCAATGAAAACAGGTTTGATCCTCTGGCTGCCTGGTTCACTGTCATTTTTTTCAGGCTATACAGGAAAAGATAATAAACACAGTTTTGTAACTTGCATTAACAGATATTTTCACACACACTTCCCCATAAAGCAAATGCATAGAACGCATATTCTTTAAAAAATAGAGCCGCAAGAATAGTTTTAAATACAGTATGATGATGGCATTGGATGCACAAATTTCCACTCTGGTGTTAGCACTCACAATACATCTTCATGGTATCATTCACCACACAACTAACGTCTTTCCTGATTTCTTCATCCTGCAGTCATTTGGAATCATCCAGAGCCTTCCTGTTTATAATACATACTAAGGTAAGGTACATTTAAAAACCAGGAGAAGTGCTTTCCAATAATACCAGGTTAGTACCAGGTTAGAATTATCCACTTTAAAAGAAATTTACAAGTTACATTACTACATTGATGTTGGGCAATTGAGGATAACTCTTGGTTTGACAACTCATTATTCATATGACAGCAACAAGCAATGAAGGAAAATTTTTGGTCATATTCATTTGATTTTGGCATCTTTTCCCGGTGTATCAATGTGTTTAAGAAAAACATATTGTATAAATATAAATTATATAAAGTATACAGGAAAGAAGAGACCTCTAAATACAGTTAAATCCTAACTTCAATTCGTTTCCAAAGGTAGGAACCAAGTTCCAATCAATGAGTCAGGCAGATCCCACAGGAGTTTAAAGTCAAAGATTAATCTTCCATCTATTGGAACCATGCATTTGACATGAAATTACCCTTCGTACTGTACCAGCAGGAAACTGGGAATTTCATTTATTTATCCAAAACACATCCATAAAATTTAACTATGTTGAACTTTTTTTGTTTGAAATGTATTTAACTATTCTCTAACCATATTTTAAAAATTAAGTTCAGACCTGCAGGGGCCAGCACTGTGCCACAGCAGTTAAGCTGCTTACACCCCCTATTAGGGCACAGGTTTGAGTCCAGGCAGCTCCTAGCTCACTCCCTGCTAATGCTCCTGTGGAAGCAGCAGAGGATGGTCCAAATGCTTGGGCTCCTGCCACCTCTGGGAGACCTGGATGGAGTTCCTGGCTCCTGGCTTCAGTCTTGCCAGCTCTGGAACTTATAGGAATTTGGGAAGTGAACCAGCAGATGGAAGATCTCTCTTTCTCCCTCTCCTTTTCTTTCTCCCTCTCCTTTTCTTTCTTTCTGTCTGTCTGTCTCTCGCCCTGACATTCTACCTTTCAAAATAAATAATTCAAGTCTGTATTTTCAATTCCTTCACTATATGGATCTGTTTCCATATCCTAAAGGCACACTCCCCAAACAATACTACAGAAAAAAAAAAATCACTTCTGATATCATACTACGGAAACACCTGACAAACAAAAGAGAAAACTGAACTGAATAAGCAGAAAATGGAAATGTCACAAGAATGCGGCAAAATCCAAGGCTACAGGTCTACAAATTGGCACTGTTCAACTTTTCATAATGTCTTGAAAATTTAGATGACCAGATAATACACTAGTAACCTTGACGATTTTAACATACATATACACAGAGAGCGAGCGAGCCTATTTTTTCCATTAAAAAATGCAATAGAAAAATTGCAACACCGCAGACGTTTTAGACAAAAGTAGGATCAATAGAATTATTTTTATTCTTTTTTAAAAAAGATTTATTTATGCCAGTGCCGTGGCTCACTAGGCTAATCCTCCACCTAGCGGCGCTGGCACACCGGGTTCTAGTCCTGGTTGGGGCGCCAGATTCTGTCCCGGTTGCCCCTCTTCCAGGCCAGCTCTCTGCTGTGGCCAGGGAGTGCAGTGGAGGATGGCCCAAGTGCTTGGGTCCTGCACCCCATGGGAGACCAGGATAAGTACCTGGCTCCTGCCTTCGGATCAGCGCGATGCGCCGGCGGCCGTAGTGCGCCGGCCGCGGCGGCCATTGGAGGGTGAACCAACGGCAGAAAGGAAGACCTTTCTCTCTGTCTCTCTCTCTCTCACTGTCCACTCTGCCTGTCCAAAAAAAAAAAAAAAAAGATTTATTTATATATTTGAAAGGCAGAGTTACAGAGAGAGGGTGACAGAAGAGAGATAGATCTTCAATCCACTGGTTCATTCTTCAAATGGCAGCAACAGCCAGGACTGGGGCAGGCTGATTGGAAGAGGGGACAGCCTTGTGATGCTGCAGGTTAAACCACCAACTGTGATGCCAGCATTCCATAAGAGCACCCGTCCCAGCCTGTGGTGCTCCACTTCTGATCCGTCTCCCTGCCAATGTACCTAGGAAGGCAGTGGTAGGTGGCCCAAGTGCTTGGGCCCCTGCCACCCTGTGGGAGACCTGGATGGAGTTCCAGACTCTTCGATTCACTCTGGAGGCCCCCACCTCACAGTTTGCCGAAAGCATAAGTCAGGTATCCACGGTTCTCTGGTAGACCTCCTCATGAGAAAGCCAGGATTGATAAGCAGTAAGCCTGGTAAAGGATGCATAAATGTTGGTGCCATCTATGTATAACACCTTTATTTTTGTGACTAAGAGATGGATGTAACTAGCAATGTGGTGAGTAATAACTGTCAAAGAATGTTTTAAAAGAAAATAGTCCTTCCATACGGGTTACGGCCATCCTGAAACAAGTTGGGGGAAATGCTGCACTTCCTATTTTTCTACAAAGAAAATAACAAAGTGCCTTAGCACCTCCAGGGATCTCTGAGCTTTTTTACAATAAAGAGAGCTGTGGTTACCCCAGTATTTTGAAGTTTACAAAGTCCTAGAACTCATTTTTCCCCAATATAACACCTATTACGTAGAAGACAACTTAGGACATACAAGTGCAGAGTCTAGTGGAGAAGAGGCAGGAGTTCTGATTCTACTCTGCACATTAATAACATCTTGGACTTGGACCAGTCACTGTTTCTAGGGTTTCAGCTTCCTGACCTAGAAAACAGATGATGCTAGGCTACAGGTGTGGTTTTTTGTTTTGTTTTGTTTTTTGATGGAGTATGTCATCCTCCTTCCACAGAACAAACTGCAGATCTCAAGGGGGCAGCTGCCTTCTGACTGACACTGAAGAAATAGCACATCTACTGGTGACACTTAAAAACAAACACACACTGATGGGCCAGTGCTGTGCCACAACAGATTAAGCCCCTGCCTGTGACACCAGCATCCCACATGGGCAACAGTTCGAGACCAGGCAGCTCCACTTCCAATACAGCTCCCTGCTAATCTACCTGGGAAAGCAGCAGCAGATGTTCTAAGTTCTTGGGCCCCTGAACCCAGACACCTAGAAGTAGTTCCTGGCTCCTGGCTTCAGCTTGGCCATTGTGGCCATTTGGGGAATGAACAAGTGGATGAAAAATTTCTCTCTGTATTTCTCCGTTCTCTCTGAAACTCTGCCTTGGAAATAAATCTTTTTTTTTTTTTTTAAATCTGAATATAGATCTCAATAGGGCTTGGAACTAATAGGATCGCAAGAGGAAGAAGTGAAATGAGGTTTAATTCTCAGGTAACACAAGAAACAACCTGTAAACTATTTTGCTTCTATTACACACAATTAGAGAATAATCAGAATATTAAACATTTCAAAGAAGTGACAGGAAGTAAACAGTATGTGCTTTTTAAAATATTAAAAGTAGTGAGAAATAATAAAGATAAAATAACTTGACAGATGAAATGCATGTTATGAAAAGACTCACATGCATTTGTAAACTTCATTTTAAACAACAAATCTAAAAATTAAAGCTAATTTACAATATTAGCTCTTCTCATCTTTTCTAATGAATCTTTCATTATAATTAATAACAGCAAGCATTCATTTAGCATCTACCTTGAGCCTGGCACTGCCTATGAGAACCTAAGTATGCTAACTTATTTTATCCCAAATGATCTTTCTGGTTAGTATTCTTAAGCCCACTTTAAACATCAGAAAACGCTTCCCAGAAGTTTGTTCTTCCACCTTAAATTAGTAACTTCAAAACTTAAGTTGAGTTAAAGAATCCATAAAATCATTTGCACTTCTGATAAATATACCCCTAGTTCTGTAATTTTAGAAAATAACACATTATTTCTGTGAGCATATCATTCCCAGAAATGCCATTTACATTTATTTCTAGCAAGTCTTAGATACATGAAATGTAGTAGATTTTCTACATGGATGAAGAGAGAGTGAAAGATCATTACAAAAATGAGTCAGAGTTAGGAATATGTGGTATGGTCAAATACTTCATTTCTTCTCTCAAGAAATATTTATTGGCAGAGTGGAGACAGCAAAGATTTATCAATAATAATTTTTACAGAAATGTCATTTATTAACTAAATCAGACCCAAAAACTAAATGTTCAAGGACAGAATAGTCACAATTATGAGAGCTATGATTTTATACTGCTGCTAAATGTAAGAGTAAGTATATTTACAATGTATATAAATGCTATATTTGTTGTAAAAGATATTAAGTTTAAAAAGTGCATGTTGAGGCCAGCACATGTTGAGGCTAAGCCTCCACCTGAGGTACCAGCATCCCATATGGGCACCAGTTTGAGTGCCAGCTGCTCCTCTTCCGATCCAACTCTCTCCTATGACTTGGGAAAGCAGTGGAAGATGGCCCAAGTGTTAGGGACCTTGCACCCATGTGGGAGATGGGAAGAAGCTCCTGCATCCTGGCTTCAGTTTAACTGAGCTCCAGCCATTGTGGTCATCTAGGGAGTGAACTAGTGGATAGAAGAAGACCTTTCTCTTCGTCTCTCCCTCTGCCTGTAACTCTCTCAAATAAACACATAAAATCTTTTTTTAAAAAAAAATTTTTGTATGTTAATCAAAAAGGAAATGAGTGGAGGTACACACAGCTACCGTTATTGCTGGTTTCATAGCAGTGAAAAAATTTTTAATTTTATTTTAAGTATTTACTTAATTTTATTTGAAAGAGGGATAGGGAGAGAGAGAGAAATCTTCCATCTGCTGGTTCACTCCCCAGATGACAGCAATGGTCTGGGATGGGTCCAGTGGAAGCCAGGAATCAGGAACTCCACCTTGGTCTCTCT